GAGCGGCGCCGGCGACGCGCTGGCTCCCGAGAGGGCCTCGCCCCGCGCGTCGGCCCCGCGAGCGGCCTCGCCGCGCTCTCGGGGCTGTCGAAAATAATGACCATCAACGCAGGACGCGCAGCGGTCGCTAACGCTTCGCCCCAGCGGCACGTGGACGACGCGCGTCGCCCCCTCTGGGCGGGCGCGGTCGCCTCGCAGGTTGCGCGTCGTCGCCCCCGCACATCGAGAACCTGGCCGCCAGGGCGGCCAGTGGCAATCCGAGGGGGCAGCCCGCCGCGAGCGCGCGCCGCACCCCCCCCGCCCGAGAAGGGCGCGCGCCGCCCCCGCCCCCCCCCCCAAGGAGCAAAGCTGACTGGGGCGAGCGGCGACGAGGGCCCCGGATTCAGCTGCGCATTCTGAGGGGAGGATGCAGGGCGCATGGGCGCCGCCCGCATGATGGTGATCATGATGATGAAAGGTATGATTGATGATTCTGTGGGTACCGATGATGTCGACGATTACCGCGATGATCAGGGCGATGCTGATTATGGCGATGATGATGACGATGATGATGACGATGATGATGATGATGATGAGCATCATCGTCACGAGCACCATCACCATCATGAACATGGCTGATATTCTGAACAAAGCTGGTCGCATTGCGGGTGGCCCTTTGCGGATGAGAGCGAGCGCGCGTCGAGGAAGCGGCGCTTCTTCGGGTCGAGCGTGGCTGTCTTCGAGATGCACCTGCAAAAACTGCTCTTGCCGTCCAGCGCCCGCGCGGCGGGGCCGGCGTTCGCGCGCGCCCCGGCCGCCCCCCCCGCCAGCGTCGCCCCTGCGCGCCTGCTTTGGTGGACTGCCCAGCAGCCCCGGCGGCCGCGGCCGCGGCGCCCGAGGCTGTTGGCGCGCCGCTAGGCTGGCGAGGGCCAGCGGCGTCGTGTAGTAGCGCTGCTCGACTGCTGAACAGTCAATCGCCCGCCGCGGCGCCGCGTGGAACGGCGCGCGGACCCGCTGCGCCAGCTGCCAGGCCTTCTCGCGGATGCTTCGCTCATGCTGCATCTTCTGGGCCCGCGGCGGGCGTGCGACCGCGTCGCCCTGCGCGTTCCTCACCGCGAGACCCCAGACGTGTTCCCCGAGCAAGTAGTTCAGGTGCGTCTGGAACTGCTACGCGCTACCGTCTTGCAGCTCCTGTCTGTCGGCGTTGCGTTGGCCGGGCCCGCGGATCCAATGGGCTTCCGCAGCGCCTCTGGGCCCCGCGGAGGTTCGACCTTGACGGCGGCCGCCAGCCTTATTGCATGGCCCCAGGGCTGGGCCGCACTGGGGCACAGAGGTCGGGATCCTCGCCCCCCTCGGCTGCGTAAACCGATGTGAGCGCCTCTGCAAAGATGTCGTCGCGCTTAATCTCCGTCTGCCTGGCCTCGAGACAAGGCGCCGCGGGCGCCCGCGCTTCCACTGCGCCTTCTCGGAGGCCAGGCGCCAGGTGGTCGGGGGCGCTCAGAGGCTCGGTCACTTGGCGGGCATCGCCCTCGCCCTCCATCCTCTGTTTTGCTCGATCCTCGCGCGCGCCGCCTGCCGCGCGCGCGGGCACGGCGACCTGCGCGCGGTGCTCGATCGCGGTCTCTGCGTCGAGGTTGAGCTAGTCTCGGGCGAACGCCCTGACGTCGCCGCTTGAAGTCAACGAACATGCCGAGGCTCGTCACTCCGTAAAAATACAGCTGCGCTCGCGCGTTCAGCGGCGCGCCCGCATTTGCGAGGGGGGGCTCGCATCTGCGCGCGGCGACGCGACGCGAGCGCGCGTGCCCTCTCTTCCCTTTCGAGGCCCCGCAGCGGCACGCTGCTTAGCCCCCCCCTCCGACACAGGTCGAGCTGGCGACGCCGAGGGCGGGCCGCCGAAGACCTGCCAGGCCCTGGCGCAGACCAGGCGACGACGCGACTCGAGGAAATAAATATTCTGGATCGCGCGACGATCCAGCAAGCCCGCCCTTGCAGGAGGGAGCGCGCTGCGCGGCCCCGAAGGCGCTCCGCCGCCCGCGCGGCCCAATCCGGCGCGGAGGACGCCCCCCCTGTTTGGGGCCCTCGCCCCCCGCCCGCAGCGGAGCGGAAGGCGGGGGGCGCAGGCGGGGCGGGCGCCTTCTTATGGGGAGGGGCCCGCCGGTCGACGGGGGGCCAAGGCAATTCCAAAAAGCGCGCCGGTGGCTGCGCCGTCGAGCGCTGACTCCCTCGATCCGCGCCTGGCGCAGGCAATGGGCGCTTGCCTGCCTCGGTCGCTCCCTGATTTCGCAGCGCCGACATCAGCGGGTGATCTGGATATTTAACAAACGGCATGGCGACGTTTTTCAGATGCGGCTAAATATGGTTTATTTGCGCGACCCAAATGTCACTGCGCATCGCGCCGCGAGGCCTCTCGGCGCGCCCAACGGGCGATTCGCGCCTGCGGTTCGCGCGCGACTGCCGGCGCCGGCGCGGGCAAGATTCGCCGCGCTTGCGGCGCGGCGCGCGGGGGTCTCCCGCGCGGGCCCGCGGGGGTGACAACTGCGCGACGCTTGCAGAGGGCGCGAGATATCTACGCGCTGGGTGCGGGGGGCGACGCTCCGTGGGAAATCGCGCATTTACAAGCCGCAGCGCGGGCGCCGCAATAAAGGCGGGCCGCAGCTAAGCGCGCGCTGCCACGAGAAGCGCCGCCGTGAATCGCGAAGCGGCCCGCGGCCGCCGAGATCGCGAATATCGGTTCTGAACTGGCGGCGGCAGGAGGAGGGGGGAGGGAACAGGGGGGGGGCGGAGAGACAAGGAAAAGGGGAACGGGAACGGGCGGGCGGGGGGACAAGCGGCCCACGGCCCAGCAAGGCACACTTTCTGCACTCTGTAAACCAAGCACGGCGCAGCTCGGCACGGCACAGCACGGCGGGGCCGTCTACGACAGCCAGCGCCGCGAAGCAAGGAGAAGGGCAACCGCGCGCAAACCAGCATCCGCACATGAAAACAAGGGGAAGCAACGTGGGATGACCATCAGGGTAGGCAAAAGACAAAGAAATTCTCCTGGCGAAAGACCCAACCATATGCAGTTGTAAATACCGCAATTGTGAATACCATCCTCGCCCGCGCCCCCTATGTGGCCACGGCTTCCCGCCGGGGCCCGACATGCTCAGGGGCACGTTCGTGGCCGTCTTCGCGGGCGCCGACGACGACAAGGACGGCGCCCCTCTCACCGAGGAGCAGAAGCAGGAAAGGGCCTTGAGAGCCATGAGGGAGGAGGTGGCGTTGCACGTCGACAAGGCGGAGTACGACGCCCAGGCGCGGTTGTTGAAGCAGCACAACTATGGGGCCACGATCCTCGTGAGGGGTGTGCCGAAATGGCCCGGGGTCGCCATGCGAACCCTGCCACTGGCGCCTTCGGTGGAGCTCCAGTGGGGCCACGGTCGTCGTGAGGAGTGTGCCGACATGGCCCGAGGCCGCCATGCGAACCCTGCCGCTGGCGCCTTCGGTGGAGCTCCCAATGGGGCCACGATCCTCGTGGGGGGTGTGCCGAAATGGCCCGGGGCCGCCATGCGACCCCTGCCACTGGCGCCTTCAGTGGAGCTCCCTACGGGGCCACGATCCTCGTGAGGGGTGTGCCGAAATGGCCCGAGGCCGCCGTGCGAACCCTGCCACTGGGGGCCTTCGGTGGAGCTCCCTATGGGGCCACGGTCGTCGTGAGGGGTGTGCCGAAATGGCCCGAGGCCGCCATGCGAACCCTGCCACTGGGGGCAGTGGGTGGAGCTCCCTACGGGGCCACGATCCTCGTGAGGGGTGTGCCGACATGGCCCGAGGCCGCCATGCGTACCCTGCCACTGGCGCCTTCGGTGGAGCTCCCTCATGGGTCTACGATCGTCGTGAGGGGTGTGCCGAAATGGCCCGAGGCCGCCATGCGAACCCTGCCACTGGCGCCTTCGGTGGAGCTCCCTATGGGGCCACGATCCTCGCGAGGGGTGTGCCGAAATGGCCCGAGGCCGCCATGCGAACCCTGCCACTGGAGCCTTCGGTGGAGCTCCCTATGGGGCCACGATCCTCGTGAGGGGTGTGCCGAAATGGCCCGAGGCCGCCATGCGAACCCTGCCACTGGGGCCTTCGGTGGAGCTCCCTATGGGGCTACGAAACGCTGTGCTGGGTGGGTGAAACGCAAGGAGGAGGGGGAGGAGGAGAGGAGGAGAGGAGACGCGGGCCACCGTCTCTTCAAAACGAGGACCCAACACCACGGGATGGTTGGGAAAAAACGTTCCCCTGTGAACCTGTCGATGGCTTCGTAGTGACTGGCCTGCGCAGCGGCCGACGCCCCTGACCCCCGCCCCGAGGGGTCGGGCGGGGCCTCGCGGCCGCGGGCGACTCCTCCGCGCGCTGCCACCGCGCCTGCGCGCAGGCGCGGCGCCCGCCCCGACGGGGCGAGTGGAGCTCTGCCGCCGCCGGCGCCTTCCTCGCTGGGCTACCTTTTGCTGGCCCCCCTCGTCGGGCCCTCCTTAGCTCGCGGAACTCGTCGGGCTCTCCGAACCCTCGCCCTCGCCCCCGGAGGCTTCCACCGTCACCCGGTCCGCGACGTGGCGCTAGCATCTCTGGCAGACCACGTCGCACTCGCATGGGGCAGCGGGGTTCGTCGCGGCAGGCCGCGCCCAGCGGCGTCCTGCCCGAAACCCAGCCGCGGCGGCCGACCTATTGTGGAGCCTGGCCACCCTGCGTCCTCTCGTGTCCGCGATGATGCACGTGCCACTTTCCTCGGGGCCCATGTCTTCTGGCGGGGCCGCGGCGCGCCGCCTCCGATCTGAATGTTATCCCCGTCGCCGTCGTCGCGGTTGAGATCCGCCTCGGATTCGCCCGCGACGCCGTCGCGGCTGCCGCCCGCTGGCGCGGCGATCTCCGTCGCCAGGGGAGGCTCTTCCACCGCTTCTTCGACGGCGGCCTCTGTTGTCGCCATCGGCCCCGCTGGCGGCGGCGCTGGCCGCGGCGCCGTCGGCGCCCATCCTGCAGCGCGGCGGGGGCCCTTGCAGGTCCTAGTCGCCAGCGCGTCGCCCCCTCTCGATGACACTTTTCCTCGCTACCAACCAGTTCGCCAAGTCCAGGATGGACGCATCCTCATCCAGCTCCACGAAGGCCATTCCAGAGCGCATCGCCCCTGCGAGCTGCCGCTGGAGCCCGGGGCCGACGGCGCGGCACGTCCTCGCGCACTGTAGGTGTCCGCGCCCTTTGGCGACCGCCTTCCCAAGTAGTCCCGGTCGCCCTTTGAGATCCCCATCGCCGACGAGGCTGATGAGAGGGTTGCTCGCGCCGGGTGCTCCGTCCAAAAGCCAGCGACCTCTTCTGGGATGAAGGCCAGCACCCTCCGCGGCACATCCTGGCCCGTCGTTGCCGCTTCGGCATGCCTGGCGGGCTTCCGGACCACCGCCTGGCTGGCATCGTCGCACCGCGGCGAGATGTAATCCCTCTCGAATTCCGCGGTCTCGTGCGACTCACGCCATGGCGTGAAGCCAGTCTCTACTCGCGCCGGGTCCCGCATGTAACACTAGTGGGACACAAACAACGGCAGCTCTGGCATCTTGCGCCCCGCGCCGCTGGTCTCCGCACGGCGCAACGTAGCCGCCAGGCCTCCGCCCACGAAGGCGAGACGCCGGGGCGATATCCAGCCGTGGTCGACGCGGCGCAGCACGGCCCAGACCTCAACACGGCGCAGCCACGCCATCCCGCGCAGGCACTTCACGACGTCCTCCTACGCGACCAGCTGCGCCAGGGCCCCGATGAACGCGCTGGTGAAGCGGGCAGCCATCATTGTCGGACCCTTGCTAGCACCGAGGAGCATTTCCGTGTTCGCGACGACCCGCTGGACCTTGGGCCGCGCGGAAATCTCGACGCAAAAGTTTAAGCCCGCCGCCCGCTCGGTCCAGGTCACCGCGCGGAGGGTCTGGTTGGGCACCGACGGCCCGCAAGGCTCCGCGGCCCTGGCATCAACGTAGTAAATGAAGTGCGCGACCGTCTTCGGCCACGGGGCGCCGTGCACACGCGTCACCAAACGACGCATGGTCTCAGTTGCTCGCGCGTGCGCCCTCACCGTGTTGAGGCTCGCGCTGCCATTGATGCCGTCCTTCGCCCGCTCTGGATCTATGCAGAACCGCGCACCTCCAGCAAAGGTTGCCTCCATCCCGCTGAGCACCTTGATCAAGCGGGGCTTCCAGCGAGCCCACTCTCGGGCCCCCACCCCCCCGCGACTCTCCTCGACAGTGACACGGCGCCCCCGCGCGTAGCGGGGCCATAAGCGCGCGGGTCCCTTCCAGGGTGGCGGCCTCCTGCTGCTCCTGCCCGCGCCAGCCGATTCTGAACCAGCTCCTCCTCCACCGCCTGGCGAGCCCGCAGCCATGCAGGACAATGCTGACCCGCCGCCTTGAGGCGTCGAGGGCGCACGGCCCAGTGCCCAGCATCTGCGCCAAACCGTTGTTCAGAACCGGTCGAGCGCTTGAGCCCAAATGGCCACAGACGTCGGGAAAGAAATGGCGGACTTCGGAAACCCTGACCCCCAAAAATGTGGTCATCTCTTGGGGGCGCATCTTTTACTTCCGCCGCCTTCCGCCGGCCTTCCGCCGGCTTCCGGTGGCGGAGGCGGCCTGTTTTCACTTCCGCCGAACTTCCGCCGAGGAAGAGATGACAAATCCGTCGATCGTCGAAGACAAGGCCCTTTTATGGAACGCCTCCAATGAAGATGAACTTTCGTGTTGGCACATGTGGGCAAACTGCACCACCAAGCCAGTGCAGGTATTACAAGTGGGGGCGGCGCAGGTAAAGACCCCGCGCGGTGCTCAAAGATGGCAGGGGCAGCGCGCGGCGGCCGGCAAAGTCGCTGGGAGCAGATGGCAGATCTTGTGCTCCAATCGCTCAACAAGTTACGAATTCTGCCGTGCACGTCTGCCATGGAGGGGACACGATGAAGGGGGCCTGGCTCAGGGGGGGAGGACAACTTGCCCAGAATCGACCATCATACGCCGGCAGATGGGCGATAGGATGCGATAGGCTCCCTGGTAGATTGGCACCCCCTGGGCGGGGCGGGGGGGGGCCCAGGCCCCGATCGGCGATGCGTGGGCAATGGGGGGTTGATGTCGCCACCCACGGTTATGCTGCTCCCATCGTACTTAAAGACCACATCCCAGAAATAGTTCGAGCACCCGGAAACGTGTCGAACCAGCGACCCTGAGCATCCGGCACCCACAGAAAAGAAAGGATAAGTTATGTTTAAGTTCTGCCCCTTAACTTAAAATGAACTTACCTTAGAACGTACTTAAGTTACTTAGTTCGTACCTCAACTTAGACTTAGAACAAACTTAGAATTGCACTTAAAACGCATGTAGTTTGCACTTAGTTTGCACTTAGTTGTTGGCCTGGTGTTGGGATGTTGTTTCGCAGTTGACGCATGCGGGCGCAGCCGCGAAGTTTGAGCTACGTCATGCCACGCCTGCTAATCAGCGTTCCCTTTCCGATGTTTTTCGGCCCCTCGGTTTCTGGATTTCTGGTTGAAGGGCTTCGTTGGCCCATGGGCCCCTAGGATCCTGATGGGTCCCAGGGGCGCGCGCCTGGACTCCTTGGGTCTTGGATTCCTGGGTTCCTGTGCCCCGGTGGGAGAGCGAGGAGGAGGAGGAGGAGGAGGAGGAGGAGTAGGAGGAGGAGCCATTGCCGTTTTGGCTCAAGCCATTCAGAGGGCATCTTCATAAGACGAGAAAGGATCCACTTTTTGGACGCGGCTTCTGGTGAAGCGCCCAGCGGCGGCCGAGGCGATGCCCGCGGCGAAGCTCCGGAGGCCAGCTGCTTGGCACGAGCAGGACCAAGAAGAGGAGGACGACACCGACGAGGGGCCTTTGGTGCGTATCGCCGCCACGCGCGGCCAGGGCAAAAACACCCTCAAGGACGACGAGGACGCAGAGGACGGAGCAGCTGATTCCCGCGCGACGACTCGTGCCCAAAGGCACACCTTCGCGAAGAATCGCCACCTCTTCGATCAGGCCTTGGTGGCCCAGTTCGACAAGCTGATGGACACAGCCAACAAGACCGTCGGCAAGCAGGCGCAGATCAACCAGATCATCAACAGCTGCGTCACGAGGAAGGCTGCTGGCGGCATGGGTGTCTTGATCAAGGAACGCTCGGTGAAGCGCTTCCAGCGCAACATGATGCGCGACGAGAACAAGAAGACGGCGCACGGCCTTGGATGGTGGAGTCTCGTCGGAACGAAGTTCGGCGGCTCGGAGTCCTTGGCGCAGAAAGCGCTCGACGCAAGGGAGGTCTACCAGGCAGAGGACACGGGGCTCTACTACCAGAGGTCCCACACCATCGAGCGGACGAGAGTCCAGGAGAAGGGCTACACGGGCGAGGAGGACACGGGCGGCCTGCTCTCGACGGACGAGTTCGTGCAGGCGTTGTGCGACCAGGAGGAGCAGCTCACCGCGAAGCCTCTCGGCGACTGGTTCAAGCAGTGCCAGAAGGGGGCCCCCAAGAAGATCGCGGGGGTGCAGGCGGACGACGGCGACTTCACGGTCATGCAGGACTCCTACTCCTACTCTTACTCCTGGTGTTATTCCAACCCTACTGATACTCCTACTCTTACTCATGCTCCTACCCCCCCTCCTCCCACTCATAATCCTGAGAGGGAGTAAGAGGAGAGGTAGGTGGGGGAAGGTGCATGGGGTACGAGTAGGAGTGGGAGTGGGTGCTACCCGCAGGAGAGCTTCGACGCGGTCTCGAGGGTGACTCTGGCCCTGCGCCGCTTGGGCACCAAGATGATGGCCGCCGAGGGCAACTCCGAGACCACGAAGCTGATGTCTGAGAGGGCCATCAGCCTGTGCAAGGCCGTGGCGGGGCCTAGCGAGGTCATCGAGGGCCTCCTGGTGGCCCAGGGCGAGGCCAAGCGCAACATCTCGAAGGCGGACGTGGCGGAGGCTCTCAAAGCCATGAGCGTCCCGTACAAGCAGATGGTCGAGCTCTACAATGAGATCGTGATCCAGGTGAAGTCCGCGGCCAAGGGCAGCAAGACCGCCGACGCGGCCAAGGGCTCGAAGCCGATCAAGCTTTAGGTCAGCGCTGAGGGCGCTTCGAAGAGAATGAGAAGGAGAGAAGGATGATGTTTTCGTTTCAAAAAAATGTTGGGGTGTGTTTGGCGCAACCAGTGGGGCCGAGTCGATTTTGGCCCCCAGGGGCTGATTAAGGATTGAACCGAGCGAAACTACGTTTCGATTGAGCCGAGTGCTCGACGCGGCGCCCGGCGCGCCGCGCGCAGGAGGCCGAGGCAGAATGGTTCGCCTCGTGCTACTCCTTTTTTTCTTTCCTCTCAACCCCTGCTACTTATCCCCTCCTGACCCTGATTCTCGCGCTCGTTCTGATCGCCCTCTCCCCGTCCTACCGCTCGCCCCATCTCGAGGCCCCTCTGGCTGCCTCCCGTTCCCGCTCGGCGCGATTGCCGCGCCGCCTGGTCTCGCCCTCGTCGCGGGCAACAGAGCCCCGACCGAGCCCGCGAGAAGCGAGCGAGCCCAGCGATGGGCCCAGCAGAAAACATATGTCAAATCTTGTGCGCTGAAACAACTGGCCCCTGAAGGAGGCCCTGGGGCCCTGAAATCACGCGGCCCCTGGGGCCCCGACAAGGGAACCTGGGGGCCACAAAGGAATCCTGGTGACCATGTCGCAGATATGTTGTAGATATGTTGTAGATTCGTTGTAGATTTTTGAAATCTACAAAGAATCTACAACGCGATGCTGTAGATGCTTCGTAAATTTCAAAATCTACAACGAATCTACAGCGCTCATCCTTGAGCAGCTGTCTGTAAGGTTAGTCTCACGTGCGTTCAGAGTGTCACAGTTGTTCAGGGTCTGTCTGAAAGTCTGAATCGAAAGAGCGGGGCGGGGTGAAAAGGCCAACATTCGCACCCCTCCTTATCATCGTAGCCGCTTTGGCTCAGCAGGCTTATTTTGACGAGCCCTGGACTTTACAATGGGATCGAAACGCCCTCGCCAGGTTGCAAACCCAGATGTTGCAGAATCCGACTACGTTTCTTGCTTGAAAGATTTCGCTGGCGGTAGACCCCTCGAGTCCGTGCTGCAGCCATTGAACACAGATATCAATAGGTTGACACCTGTTCATGTGGTCAGATCGTATAAGCTGTTGGAGTCGTTGATGAAAAAAGGAGTGTGGAATGGAGTTATATGGACGTCTCGGTTCATGATAGCTACAAAGGCAGTGTGCAGTGACGGAAGTGAGCTCACTGCGACGAACATCACCGATCACGTCAGGAAGTGCTTCAGCATGGTCAGGCAGATCAAGTTGGACAAAACTTCGAGCGTTGGTAAAACTCGTTCCAGGAAATCGTCACCATTCCTGCGGCAGTGCGGGGCCGCCGACAGAATCGCGATCGACGCCCTCGTCGGAAAAATGAAGCTCACGCAGCTGAGCGATGTACCCATCAAGACGCCCGATCCCAAGAAGGCTGTGGATTCGCCGCCATCAGGTTCGGCGCCGCCAATGCCCCCGACCCCGCGCGGCGCGGCTCTATCAGACAGCGGTTCGATGCGTGACATGTTCAAGACAGGCTTGCGACAGGTCGAGGAGATGGAGCGCGACTTGGCCGAGTGTTCAAGATTGGCGTCGCTGGCGACAGTGCCGTCTACCATAGCTTACCCAGAGCACGCGGCGAAGTTCGATGAAGATGGGTTTCCACAGATGTCACCGAGATCTGACATATCTGCGGTATGTCAGCCACCGTGTCGCTCTGGTGCACCGTCGCGTTCGATGAGCATGCAAGACTTCATCGACGGCCACGAGATTCCCGACGCCCCCGATGCTGGCCCAGAGAAAACATCGAAGCCCGACACATTCGACGAGCCACCAGACCCTTGCACGCAGCGCCGCAGGAAGGAGATTCTTCGCGTGCGCAAGGAGGCCAAGGCGACGCAGTCTATTACGGACCGCGCCAAGAAGCTTACGGTGCCAGATCCCAAGAAAAAAACAACCATCAAGACAACGGGCGACCCCCCCGAGGATCGCAAGCTCATCAATCCGAAGTTGGCGAAGACAAAGGACGGGCCTTGTAAACGTGAGAGAGTTCTGGCAGAGGGAAGAGGGTGAAAGGAATCCCCGCCCTCCGATCCCCCCTCCCCCCCCTAAAAAAACAAAACGAAACGCAGCCCCCACCGCCGCGACGGCGATGGGGGGGGGGGGGAAGGGGGTGGTGATGCGGAAGCCGAGGCCTTCTTCACCCTGCTCCCTCAGCCCGACACTCTCACCCCCCGCCCCAAAACAAACTTCGCTCGAAGAGGTAAAATGAGGAGGAGGAGGACGAGAGAGGGACTAGATTGAGCAATTCCATAAGGACGGTCGCTTTGAGATCACCGCGAAGGGTCTCCAGACGGGGAAGAGGATCCACGTGACTACGGTGCTGAAATCAAAATACGGGGCGTCGGCTGAAGCCGACATGGAAGCAGTTGTGAAACACATACAGGAGACGCAATGTTCGAAGGCCGAGGCTATTGCATTTCGAAACAGCCTCCGTTCCGCCTGAGATCGAGTTGCTTACCGCACTAGCTGGCGCCCGCTCGTGCAGGGGTTGCTGGGAGGCGCTTGCGCGTGCTAGGGGTTATGCGAAGCATTGCTGCGTACTACATCCGATGCTGTAGTGACTAGATACCGCGCCAAAGTGGAGCAAGGGAGAATGGTAAAAATGTATGTTTCATGTTATGTGTATGTAGCTCTTGATTCCAATTATGTTCATTCCTCATAAGTTTATAAGAAAGGTTATCACACAAGTTATGTGATTTACGTCGTCGCTAACATATTTCACGTCACGGCGTTACGTTGCGTCGCCGATTGTGCAACGTTCGGTTACTTGCTTGCGCGATGGATTGCAGGGAAGTTACAGTGTTGTGAGAATGTG